GAAGAAGAAGAAGAAGAAGAAGAAGAAGAAGAAGAAGAAGAAGAAGACAAATGCTTTGATTATTTTTGGCCCTCCACGATTTTGCTTATTTTATGGAACAAAACAGTTAAAAACATTGAACATAGTAAAGTCGGGTTGACATAACTTTTGGTCAGTATCACATAGATATATATTTTCCTATATACAATTATTCAAATATATACATTTGTTTGCTTATATATTACATTCCCCAACCTCACTGGTCCTCTTTTCATCTCATACATTCATTTACTTTCTCAGCAATTCCTTTCTCAACTTAAGACCTTCCTTTCTGCTCCCACCCATGAAAGAATCTATCCCAAATTGCGTAATATGCCGACGCGTCTTTATTTTTCATCTCTAAAGTTAGCTTATCCATTTCAGCGCATATCAAGATTTTGTTTATTACTTCATCTTCACTTAGTATATAATGACCCGGAGTGTAATACAGACGTAACAAAATCCAAAACGTAAGTAAATGTCCTTTAATGCCTCCAACTTGGCCCCACTGTTCAATAATTCTCAGTTGGAGATAAAACTTACTCAGAAATAGTCTTCAAAAGAAAGCAATACAGTCCGGACTTAATGAGCAGATAGTGATGGAAATAAAAAACCAAACAAACTTCAATGAAGGAAATTCCACAACAGACCAGGATAAGTAATTACCAAATTCAAGGAGATAACAAGGCACAGTCTGTTGGAAGGACGCCAACCAAGATAACTTCAGCCCAAGATAAAACACGCTTTGCTTCTGTATTGTAACCGTCTCTCTTATATACTATTCTCCCAGCTGCAACTAATGACGGGGATCATGGCCGCTTCCTCTTTCGTAAACCAAGTTGTTCCCTTCTCCATTCCTCCCTGCGTATCCTAGGATGAAGAGGGGATGGGAGTGGTTCTTCCTCTGACTGCCCAGCCGGCCTCTGCCCTTCCCCAGCCTCCTCCACAACCTCCAGAGCCACACCTCCACTCCCTGTTGGCTCCTCCTCCTCTCCCTCAGAGTCCGACTCTACCAAGGGCATGACAGGTATGTCTGTCTCTTTCCAGTCCTGAATAAATGCTATCCTTGCTGCAGTAATCATACGCATAATCAAATATAGCTCATCTTTATTGTATTTGTTTGACATGATTCCTAATAGAAAGCATTCTGGTACATGATCTAATTTAAAACCCAACATTTCCTCCAACCACTTCCTTGTCCTGAGCCAAAACTCTTGTGTTGTTGGGTTTTTTTGCAGCTCCATCACGCATGATAATAGGTTCCCCGTTCCATTGAGCATTTCCAACAATTCGGGGACTCGCTTTTATACATCTTAGCCAATCTGGCTGGTGGAAGTCGATCTTCCAAATCTAATTGGATCCATTATTCTCCTCCTTCGATGGAGAGACAGGGGGATGCCCACACACACACACACACACACACACACCCCTATGGATGGTGTTTTTAATCCGACGGCCAATTTACATGATCACCAGCTGCAAGAGAAGATTTTCAAACACATCTCTTTGGACAAAGAAAATAGCTTTTTCAATAATACCTCACGGGGTTACAGGTGAGAATATCGATGCCGTGTCTTTTCTCACAAGCAAACATATTTCTTGAAAACTGGGGCTACAGTGTGAATTGAGAATGCACAGCAGGTTTTGGCTGGATGATACGTCTGAATGCTAACAGGAAGGAAGGAAGGAGGGAGGGAGGGAAGGAAGGAAGGAGGGAAGGAAGGAAGGAAGG